TTTTTTGTTTTTGGTTCTTTGAAAATTAGGATTTTCACCCTTTGGAGAAGGAGATAAAAATAGAAGAGGCAAACCGGTGTTTCAACTCAAATGACGAGGACATAACGGGGAGTTTGACAAATATGTAATGGTGTTAGCACCAAGACACAAGTTGGGGAGCGTTTGTTGGCCAACACTTAATACAAAAGGGTTGACGTAATTTTTAAATTACAAGGAGAAAACGCGCACATTTTGTTGAATACAGGGGGATTTGGTGCAATAAACCTTTATACTATTTACTAAATACCATATTGGTGGTGGTTTATTAATTTTTCAATCTATACTCAGTTTATACTCAAAATCTAGCTCAATCCTACTATTTTTAATATTATCAATATCATCCTTCCTCATATATAATTACCGAATGCGCCTAAGTGGCAGGCTCGTGTGCTTCATAAGCTTATTTGTCATAAATTTGTGTTACGTATTGATAAACTAGTGAGAGTCCCGTGCGATGCACGGGGATTTTTCGTACCAAATTTTTTTTGCAAAACTTTATTGTAACAATGTATTAGCCCGTTAATCCGTTTATATTAATATAAATAACATTTTCACATATATATTTATTTTTTATTACAAAAAAAAAAAATTACATATTTTGGTTCATGATAATATTCAAATATTATTTATTTACAAATTTATTGTCGTATAATGTCAATATTATTTATAACATTTATAGAAATAATATTATTTATTTTATATAATGATAAATATTTAATGTATAATAATATTATTTATTGATGTGATTAATTTAAAAATATATAAGTAAATCTAATGTTTGCTAAGAATGTGATAGATCTCGATATTTTAGGTACAAATGTGTAATATATATGTACATATATATGATATGAATATCTTGAGATATACAAGAACTTTTTATGTGATTTGTTACCTTAATAAATCAGCCGCAATTACCTAAATTGTACTTTTAAAACATGCCATAAAGTGTTTAAATAGTTTCCAGAATTAATAAACAACATTTTTTTTTTTTTTTGCGGAAAATAGTTACTATTTAAAAAATAATCAAACCTTTATATATTTTAAGTTACCATATAACATTCTTACCTTTTCTTATTTAATTCATATATCAATTATCATGAACTAGTATGTAACCCGTGCGATGCACGGGCTGTATTTATTTTGGAGAATATTAAAAATTAAAATGTATTAATAAATAAAAGAGTGATAATTCGTAGGAAAATTATCAAACCATAAAATGTTCCTCATGCAAAAAAAATAGTATTTAAACTTTCTTGTACATAACATTATTTGTTCAATAACTGGGCAACTCGTCGTCCCCACAAACTAATATTTTCAACACTTTTCTATTATTTACACGCGAAACAAACAACATAATTGTCTGTGACTAAAAATTGATTTCTTTAAGAACATGCCAACGTACAATAAATGTTGATCTTGACTCTTCTTGATCTATTACTTAACATACCAA